TCATTGCACTGGCACTCTCTCTCTCTCTCTCTCTAAATAAAATAATCTTAAAAAAAAAAAAAAGCAGAAGAAAGTTACAGCCATATGAGAGCTTTTTTAAAGGAAAAGTGAGGAACACCAGTTACACCACACTATCCAGACGCTCATACTCCTGCTCAAAGATGAATGAATAAGGAAGATGTGGTCCATATATACAATGGAATATTACTCAGCCATCAGAAAGGATGAATACCCAACTTTTACATCAACATGGATGGGACTGGAGGAGATGATGCTAAGTGAAATAAGTCAAGCAGAGAAAGTCAATTATCATATGGTTTCACTTATTTGTGGAACATAAGGAATAGCAGGGAGGACATTAGGAGAAGGAAGGGAAAAATGAAGGGGGGTAAATCGGAGGGAGAGACGAACCATGAGAGGCTATGGACTCTGAGAAACAAACAGGGTTTTCGAGGGGAAGGGGGTGGGGGGATTGGTTAGCCTGGTGATGGGTATTAAGGAGGGCACGTACTGCATGGAGCACTGGGTGTTATAAGAAAACAATGAATCATGGAACACTACATCAATAACTAATGATGTAATGTATGGTGACTAACACAATATAATTAAATTTAAAAAAAGCAGAAAATTTCAGATAAAAGGCAATGATAAGGGGCACCAGGGTGGCTCAGTCATTAAGCAACTGCCTTCAGCTCAGGTCATGATCTCAGGGTCCTGAGATCGAGCCCCACATCGGGCTCCCTGATCAGGTGGGAGCCTGCTTCTCCCCCTGCTTGTGCTCTGTCTCTGTCAAATAAATAAATAAAATCTTAAAAATAAAAAAAGGCAATGATAATATGGAAAGAAATCGGGGGGAAATATAAGCCAAAATTGAAATCTATCATTTATTTTATGAGGAAGACAGACTCAGAGACAATCACCTGCAATGGTTTTATGAGATGAATAAAATTTGTTTACTAATCTTCAAAGGGTTACTGCTTAAGACAACAAAAAATTTAAAAGCAATTTGGGTTTCTACTCTTTGAGATTCAGTCAAAAATCAATTTGAAAAATCAAAAACTACTATATTCCACAACGTTAATTAGCAAAAGTACAAATGGGAAAAATATTGGGGGGGGGAACCTTTAAATAATCACATAATATACCTGCAACTTTATTAATCAATAGTACTTTCCTCTAATGATAATTTGTTGTGTATAACTTTTAAATAGGTGTTTTTTTTAAGATTTTATGTATTTATTTGTCAGAGAGAGAGAGACAGAAAGAGCACAAATGGGAAGAGGCAGGCAGAGGGAGAAGCAGCTCCCCACTGAGCAGGGAGCCCAATTCGTGACTGAATCCCAGCACCCTGGGATCATGACCTGAGCCAAGGCAGACACTTAACTGAGCCACCCACGCATCCTTTTAACCTTGAAATCTTGATTCCCAGAAAATGAGGCAAAGATCTGGAAACACAGAAGGTCCTTGGTGGATGGGATACATAATTTCCTCTTAAAAAAAAAAAAAAAACCTGGATTTCCAACATGTAATGTGATTTTATGTTGTTAAATAAACACATATTTGGTCTTTTATGTACAAATAATATATCTATGTTGTTTTTATATTCAGTGATATTTTTAAAATAGCCTCTTTAGATAAAGACAATTTCTAGTCTAAGAAGTATTTTTTAAGTTTAAATCTAGCATAGATAACAATTTCAATGCTAATGTCCTATTTTTAAACATCTTTGTCATTATGAATTATGTATACGCACTGACATCAATCATTAATCTGCAGGTGTTCCTAATGTAAATTGCATATACCTGTTTAGATTTCTTCCAAAGGCTAGTAGCGTACTAATTCTAATTTAGAAAAGTAGGCACCAAGATCTTTTTAACCTGAAAGCTCTGTGAAACTGAACAGGCTAGGAAAGGAACTCAGAGAAAATTTGGTCATGTTCTAGTTCAAGTTGAATGGTAGCTTCATGGACGTTCATTTTATTATTTTGCTTTTTACTTTATACGTTACTTATATTCTCTTATATGTACCAAATGTTACGTAGTTAAAAATTAACTTATAGGGGAGCCTTTGTGTCTCAGTCAACTCTTGATTTTAGCTCAGGTCATGATCTCAGAGTTGTGAGATCAAGCCCCACATCGGGCTCCCCACTGGGCATAGAGCCTGCTTAAGATTCTCCCCTCTGCCCCTCCCTACAGTGCCCTCTCCCTCCTCCCTCTAAAAAAGTTAACTTATAGTTGATATACAATCTTCAAAATACAGTCACAAACATAAAAATGATGAAAACAGTACTTCATTAATTCCTAGATTTATGTATATATCAATGTCTTGGAATTAATTGAAAAAAATATTCTCTACAGACATTTCACTATATAGAAGAGATCATTACAATCCAGAAAAATTAAAAACCACTTGAAAACTAAAATTTCTCAACTAAAATAAGAACTCTAGTAAAATACACATAGAAAATATAGCTTATAGACCTGGTCTTGCAAACCTTCTGTTCTGGCTGTAAATCTATTGTGAGAAGACACTAGGGCAACTAAAATGATGTGGGCTAATTAGAAATTCAGGGTTTTTTGAAACTTTATGGAGCAACTAGGATGGATTTATGGCTTACCTATCCAACTGTCTTATGTTTATATATATTTTTTTAAGATTTTATTTATTTATTTGAGAGAGAGAGCACATGAGACGGGGGAGGGTCAGAGGGAGAAGCAGACTCCCCGCCGAGCAGGGAGCCCGATGTGGGACTCGATCCAGGGACTCCAGGATCATGACCTGAGCCGAAGGCAGCCACTTAACCAACTGAGCCACCCAGGCGCCCTGTCTTATGTTTAAAATTTGGCTAAGAATAAATATTACAAATCAGTCTATAGTCTGAATTGTGAGACAGTTTCTATTTTTTTCCTATGGCAGTATTATTCTTGTTTCCCTCTTTTTCTTCTATTTGCTTAGTGAATCACAACTACCTCCATACATTTGCCCTAAATTAAAGTCAAGAGGGCTAGGAGTTAAACATTATAAACTTATTATTAGAAACTTTATCTTCAAGTGTCCGCCTACTCTTATTTATTAGCAAAATATTTTTAAGGGCATCTGCCATATAAACAACTCATTTCCTTAGAAAGAATCCAACCTATCAAAACCTACCAAAAGACCAATTTTTAGCCCAATTTTTTTCCCTTTTCAACAAGTGTTAAAAACAGGTGTCAAAGATAGAACCAGGTTAATTTGACCTGTCCAACTACAGCTTAGCTTTTAACACCTTGTCATAACATCCTTATCTTTTAACACTCAGGAAGGGTTAGTATTTCTTTGTAAACAGTCCCTCAACTTCACAAAGAACTTTTAAGGAAAGGTGTCCTATAAGAATATGAATTTCAGTTCTGGCAATCTGACCTAAGAAGAAAATTCTGATCAAAGAAAAGTATTATACACAGATGTTCATTATAGTATTATTCATCCTAGAAAAACATATAAATTCACTTAAATGTCTAAGAAGGAATGACTACCCAAATGATATTTCTTTTATAAGTGGAATATTATGCAGCCATAGAAAATAACGTTCACCCCAAAAATGTGCAATCATATGGGAAATAAGTTACATTACAGTGAAGAAAAGGGCAACTACATTTTTTAAACTACATAGAAAAAAAATTAGAAAGTACACTGGGTTTTCAAATTTTTTATTGTCTTTTCCCAAATGGTCTACAATGTGCATGTATAATTGTTTCCTCTGTAACACCATAGTTATTTTCCTACTGTTCATGCTTTAAAATATGTTACTGTCAAACAATAAAAAATAGAAATAAAAACAGGGGTGCCTGGGTAGCTCAGTCAGTTAAGCATCCAACTCTTGATTTCAGCTTAGATCATGATCTCAGGGTCATGAGATCGAGCCCCACATTGGGCTTTGCACTGAACATGGAGCCTGTTTGGGATTGTCTCTCTCTCTCTCCCTCTGCCCCTCTTTCGTTTTCCCTCTCTCTAAAAAAATACAAATACAAATACAAATACAGGGCGCCTGGGTGGCTCAGTTGGTTAAGTGACTGCCTTCAGCTCAGGTCATGTTCCTGGAATTCCAGGATCAAGTCCTGCATCGGGCTCCCTGCTCAGTGGGGAGTCTGCTTCTCCCTCTGCCCCTCCTCCCTCTTGTGCTCTCTCTCTCTCTCTCTCAAATAAAATCTTAAAAAAAAATACAAATACAAATAAAAAACACTACTGTCATTTTAACACCTAGCCCCCATGGAATGCATACCTCCTTCCTTACTTTTCTAGAACATATACTTCCACACACTTAACCATCTGAAACACAGATGAAAATTTTTCAGATAACTACAGCCTCAATCTTTTGGAAGATGCACTTAGAAAAAAACTCATTTATTATCTGAATACTAGAGTATCATAGTTAAAATTAATTTGGTTATCAGTTATCATTATAGTAGATAAACACAATTTGACTTCTAGAATCCCTGGGAATTTTTTCCCACCTGTGTCAGATCCTAGGGGATTTTTACTGTTGTGGATGATTTCTACGGTCTGTCACATCATCTATAGAGATAATAGCCATTTGGTTACATCTCTTCCCATTCCTCAAGGAAGATCAGATTTATGCACTAATTCAGAAAGCTTTAAAGATGCTCATGTTTTTCTTTGTTTTTAACCTTCAATTACATAAAAGCTCAAAATTAACAAAAACTGAGTCATTTTTTTTAAGATATAAGCAAATAATTCTTTGAAGTATCTGACTTTATCTCTCTAAACATTTTTTCCTAGCCTCAAATTCATATTTCAATATTTCCCAGATAAATCCAACTGCCTGAAGTTTTCTTGGAAACTATTCAAGACCAATGTATTCAATATCACTTGGTACAATTTTGCTAGGCTGCCCATCTTAAAGGTTTAAAAAAAAATGGTGACAGTTAAAAATTATTTTCAAATTAGTTCTCCATTTTTATCCTTCAAACAGGCAAGTTTTCCCACCATGAACATTTCCTCAATATTAAACTCTTCTCTTCATGAACTTGCCCGTCATCCTTATGCAGGGACCATGCTAATCTTTTCTGTATCATTCCAATTTTATTTTATTTTTTATAGAAGCAACCACAAACTCTTCTCCAAACACAACCAAGTTAGACCTGAACTTATTTTAATACCCACAAAAAATCATTTAACTTTATATATATTAACATTCAAGGATGTAATTATTTTATTAGTTTTATAGATACAAAGAGATCTTTCCAGAGGAAAGAAATAAGCCCATAGTTGTACTCCACATATATCCAAAATGATTTTTCTTCCTCCTAGGGTAACTGGCATCTCAATGAGAGGCTGGCTTTTAAACTACACCACTTTCATAAATTTAAAAATGTAATATACTTACAGCTAGTTGAATGGGAAATGCCTATACTTCATTCCTGCCAAACTATTAGCAAGCTACTTAACTAATGGGAGTCTACCACTATCTTTTTGTCCTCCAGACAAAAACGGGGCATATGGGAAAATCATTTTTCTATCTACTACACTTAACTGTAAAATGTTGAATACTATGGGCAGCCACACCAAAAATTATACTCAGAAAAAAGCCTCTTACTTGCTTCTGAGTGTGTTCTACAAACCTGGGAACTTAAGAGAAATAAAAATCTCAGACCCTACTCCAAACCTACTGAATCACAACCTACATTTACCAACAAGATGCCTGGGTCAGGGCCTCTGGATGGCTCAGTTAGTTTCAGTTAAGCATCTGCCTCTGGCTCAGGTCGTGATCCCAGGGTCCTGGGATGGAGCCCTGCATCAGGCTCCCTGCTCAACGGGGAGTCTACTTCCCCCTCTCCCTCTGCCTCTCCACCTTGCTCGTGCTACCTCTAACTCTTTCTCTCAAATAAATAAATAAAGTCTTTAAAAAAAAATAAAATAAAATAAAAAGATGCCTAGGTCATTTGTCAGCACATTAAAGTTTTGAGAAGCACTAGTCCAGAGGTTAAGACAAAAGGCAGCATGATAAACCATCTCCTGCATCCACATTCTAAGTTGTGCAAAGCTACACAAAATCTAGTCGGCAATGAATAAGTCATTCCTAGAGACTGTTGGTAATCTTTTAATTAAATCAAGCCTTTCCACAAAGGTAAAAAACAACAACAAAAAAGAAACATGATGCTTTGTGCCTATTAACAGCATCTTCATTGCACTACCAGAACTATATATTTTTAATAACGTGCTGAAAATAGTTACATCTGTTCTCCATCCTCTATCAAGAAAAGCGTTCTTGCTAATGAATTTTCCTCTCCTTTTCAAACCTATAATTGTGTCTTATGGATGAAATCTATTTCCAATTGTTTGAAGTTATTTTAAAGAAGTTAAAGAATTTTAACATAAGCATCCTAATTTGACCAATTTTAGGAAGCATTTATTCACTGTACAAATGCATTACTTAGGTATATTTGAGATAAATACATGTCCCATATCACAGTCCCTGGCCTCACTGTAGATAGTATGTTATACCTCTAACAAAGGATCTTCACATTTTCAAGAAGGATTTTCATAAGAAAATATCAAATCATAGCCTACTGGAAATTTGTAATACAATCTGACTCACAAAAGTATAATTTATACAACTTTCCAGAGGCGTATCTAAAATGTAATGTGGTACACCTGTACTGACCTGTGCTCTACTGGTCTACGGATTTTTAAACAAGATGCTTCTATAAGGACTTCAACTAGAGCCTACCACAAAAGTGCTCTGGGAATAACTTTATCCCTCTACAATCATAGCCTTGTTCTAAACAGAGCCCTTAAGTAAATTAAATCTTAAGAAAAACACTTTTTTGTTTGTAAAGAAAGAAACATTTCCTGAATGCCAGAGAATGTTTCCTTGAGAAACTGTTTATGTTACTGTGCTGAAAAGGTGTTTATGTTGCTATAAACACCTTCCTTGTAAGAGGGGATGGAGAGTCTCCCTATTGTTTACATTGTAATCAGCCCTGATTCTGAAAAGATCTACCCTTATTCCTCATGCCCAGACTAACTCACTGCATTCTGTCCCAATCAGATCACTCCCAAAGCTATTCTGTATTTATTTAGCATAATCGACCCATTACGTAAGAACAGGGGACCGTGGGTTCATAACTGGTACTACAATTACCAAGGCCATTAATTAGCAGGTTGTGGTGGTTTATGCTGTGTCAAATTTGTTAAGCACAACTACATTTCCTGGAATCTCTTCCCTGTATAGTTGCAGCTTAGGGCTGACCAAGAGTAGAATTTGCATAGGTCTGGACAGATCTGTACGGACTTGGAAGCCATTACTCTCTGAAGGTTGTTATGGTTAGAACAGTGACCAGGCAGGCTCTGTGGGCGGGTTCAAGCTTATCTTTGCTCTTCTCAGATCCCTATCTACCTTTCCAAACTGGTCCTGTAGGTCAACAGCAACTCCAGGCCCCCCAACAGACACAAAGAGATGGTAATTACACAGAGGCACATGAGTCCACGGCCCCCTGCCCCAGGAGCCTTGTCTCATGCTTGGCTTCTCAGACTGACTAGTCGGGGACTCCACTCATCCTCCAGCTTGCCTCCTGGCCCTTCATTTCCCAAGCTCCTACCATCGATCTTTAAGGTTTAATTTCTATAATAAAACCCTTATTACATAACCCATTATGGTCTTCTGTGATTAAACCCCAACTGATTCTAAAGGTTTGGTTTACTTGTTGGCACTAGATTTAAATGGTCTCTTGCCATTAAAGACATGGCATATTCAACAGTAAATGGCAAAGCGAACTGTGCCTGCTCATGCTCAGCTGATAAATGTTAGTAGAATAGGACCTGGAGTTTACGCCCCCTTCTTAACCCTAATTTTTCCCATATAACTTTTCTCTTTTTGTTCTGGCCTTGAGACATAACTGACATATTAAAATATCACATATGGGATGTGCATAATTCAATGTTTTGACATAAATATACACTAAGGAAACCATCACCACAGTCAAGATTATGAACATATCCATCAACCCTAAATGCTTTTTCATGTCTCTTTAAAATCTTTCCCCTCCCTGGCCTGCCCTATCTCCCAAACCACACCTCCCATAACCACTGATCTTCACTGTCACTTATAATTACTTTGCATTTTCTAAAATTTGATATATCTACATATGGAATCATACAATATGTACTCTTTTGGGGGAGGAAGTTGGCTTCTTTTACTCAATATAATTAATATTAAGTTTCACCCATATTTTGTAAATATCAATAGCTGATTCCTTTTTATTGCTGTGTAGTATTTCATTATACCACAATTTGTTTATCCATCTCCCTGTTGGTGGACATCTGGGTTACTTCCAGTTTAGGGCTAATACAAGTAACTCTTAGGAACATTTGTGTAAAAGCCTTCCTAGGGAAGTATGCTTTCAAGTCTCTTGGGTAAATAGCTATGAATAGAACAACCAGGGGGGTTGTATACTTAAGGTTTTTAAGAAAAAGAAAAACTGTCTTTCAAAGTGATATACCATTTTAAGTACTGAACCAGCAATGTATAAGAGTTCCAATTGCTCCATATCCTCATCAACATTTGGTACAGCCATTCTTTTTAATTTTAGCCATTCTAGGCGTAGTGTAATAATATCTCATGGTAGTTTTAATTTCTATTTTCCTAACAACTCGTGATACTGAACATAATTTCATGTGCTTCTTTGACATGTGTGTATCTCCTTTCTTGAAATGTCTTCAAATCTTTTGCCTATTTTTAAATGGGGGTTTCTTATTATTGGGTTATATATCTTTATATACTTTAGATTCAAGTCCTTTGTCGGATATATGCTTAGCAAATATTTTCTCCCAGCCTGTGGCTTATCTTTTCATCTCCATAACTTTTGAAGAGCAACATTTTTTCATTGTCCCTATCTAACTTCAGGTACCACAGTAGCTTCCTAGGGTTGCCATAACAAAGTACCAGAAACTGGTTGGCTTGAGGCAACAAAAATTTAATCCTTCATGCTAAAAGACAGAAATCAAGGCAATCAAGGTGTTGGCAGGGCCAACCTCCCTCTGAAAGCTCTAAGAAAGAATCCTTCCTTCACTCTGCTAGCTTCTGGCTTCTAGTGGTTTCTGGCACACTCACATTCCTTAACTGTGGTGGCCTAACTCAAGTCTCTGCCTTGTCTTTGCATGGCTTTCTTCTCTGTGTCTCTCTGGATCTTCACGCCACCTCCTTAGGAAGACACGAGCCACTGGACTTAGGGCCCACACTAATCCACTATGACCTCTATAAAAGACCCTATTTCCAAATAAGGTCATGTACACAGGTATGTAGGGGTTACAATGTCATCTTTCGGCAGGGGACAAATTCAACCCATAAAAGGCACTCAGATTTTAATATTTTAAAAAGCACACTGAACAATAAATTATTCAGCATAAATTCTGGCCTCCTTGACAACAGCCTGGTCTTGCCTCATTCACTGTTCCCATAGAGATAGACCCCAAGCTCATTTGCAGGATTTCTTGCTCATGGCCTTACTTCCCCAAAACAGATTCCAGTGACACAGTTCAGTTTAAGCAACTACTCTTGGCTAACCCCTCTTTATCAACTATTAGGTAAAGGTAATGTGAAGAGGAAAATATTGTTACATGACCTTCTCTTTTATGATCTCCCCTCCTTGACCTACGCCCAATTAGGGTACAAAAGTTTGGAGGAACAGGTTAGGGCAGTGACAACTCTCAATATGCACTAAGAAGTGCTTCTTCTAGTTCTAGCCCTGTCTTCCTTCAATACCACCTACAAGAAAACAGAAAATGCTTCTCCAAAGAAACATGTTCTAACGATCAACTGCTGAATAAACAACCACAAACTCAATTTAAAAGGACAATAGCCATTTTACTATCTTTCATGGTTTCTGTGTCAGGAATTCAGGAAGGCTTGGCTGAGCAGCTCCGGCTCAAAATTTCTTATTTGGCTGCAGTTAGATGGTGGCTGGAGCTGCTGGGGTCCAGGGAAGCAGACGGCTGGCTGGACATCTCAACACAGTTAAGTCTTCTCAGTCTCGCCTCACAACTTGATGGCCTCAGGCTAAATGGACTGCTCACATGATGGCTATAGGTTTCGTAACCAAGCATTACATTCCA